CCTACTCTCTGATTTTGCCTGGGGGTGTCAATAGCCGTAGTTGACACCACCTACTCTTTGATTTAGCTTGGGGGTGTCAATAGCTGTAGTTGACACCACCTACTCTCTGATTTTGCCTGGGGGTGTCAATAGCCGTAGTTGACACCACCTACTCTCTGATTTTGCCTGGGGGTGTCAATAGCTGTAGTTGACACCACCTACTCTCTGATTTTGCCTGGGGGTGTCAATAGCCGTAGTTGACACCACCTACTCTTTGATTTAGCTTGGGGGTGTCAATAGCTGTAGTTGACACCACCTACTCTCTGATTTTGCCTGGGGGTGTCAATAGCCGTAGTTGACACCACCTACTCTCTGATTTTGCCTGGGGGTGTCAATAGCTGTAGTTGACACCACCTACTCTCTGATTTTGCCTGGGGGTGTCAATAGCCGTAGTTGACACCACCTACTCTTTGATTTAGCTTGGGGGTGTCAATAGCTGTAGTTGACACCACCTACTCTCTGATTTTGCCTGGGGGTGTCAATAGCTGTAGTTGACACCACCTACTCTCTGACTTTGCTTAGGGGTGTCAATAGCCATAGTTGACACCACCTACTCTTTGATTTAGCTTGGGGGTGTCAATAGCTGTAGTTGACACCACCGGTGGTGGCAATAGCTTCTAGTTGAGACCACCGGTGGTGGCAATAGCTTCTAGTTGACACCACCGGTGGTGGTAATAGAGCTACCCTAAAATTAATCATGTTCCACTGTACATAGAATTTCTGTGAAAAGATATTTTTCTTCAAAAGGAATTAATATACATTTGTTCATGATGTTCTTAATATCAATAACATCGTATGAAAAAACGTTTAGATCAATGAGTTCGTAATATTTACCTAGAGAGTGATTGATTGTTCGTGTTAATAAATCATGTCGAGTTGTTCGAAAATTCGTTGCTGAACACTTAAATGATTTTAGAAAAGCATAATCATTGCCATTTAGTTCGAAGAAAAAAATAACAGCAGTAAAACACTTATTATTAATACATGAAAGATTTTGTAAGATGCACAATAACTACTTTTTCCACCTATTCGCTGATAAATCAAAGTATGATAATGAATAAGACCTCTTCTGAAACGACAGAATATATTTGAATAACTAATGTTCATACTATAACTTTGATGAAGTATCGGTAGAAATTTATCTAATTCCTTTTTATTGATATAGTTACAATTAAATATTTCTTCATGATGTGCTTGAGCCTGTTGCATATCAAATTCAGCTAGAGCATTTGGATTATGTCCGACAAGTGCATGTAAATGTAATGAAACCAATCTTTGAACCTCAAAATTAAATAAAGATTTTCATTTGTACTGGATTATTGTCAGATCCCAGTCATATGAACCCAAAGAAAAGATATTAATTTTACCACCAATGAATGGAATTAAAATCAGACTTAGAATACAGATTAATTTTGATTACTTTTTTTGTTGCAATCAGTTTTTTTATTTTTATTATTTTTTTTACCTTATCTTATTTTGGATGAACGCGGGCATCCATCCTCAAAGGGGGAGGTGTTATCAAGATGACCATCAATATACTAATCTTTCTCTTCTTCGTTCCTCTAGAATAATCTCTATTGTATATGTATGGCGTGATCTATATTCTATACGTACAGTGTGCTCACTATTTTCTCTAGTATATAAAAGAGTGTCTTCTTCACTTTTTTAATCGAATTGTACAGCTAACGTCAAGGCATCTCTTCTTCAATAAAATATTTTAAACATATTCAACCAGTGCTATCATTATAGAACCTAACAAATGCTGAATTTCGGGACTATCTCGTGAAATAGCACATGTTTGTAAAACTGACTCAACAATGCTCTCAACAACGTTTTCTAACGAACTGCTAACTAATTGAGTTGTTCTAGCACTTAACATAGCTTCACCTTTTAGTTGTAGCAAATGATGTAAATAAAGTTTGTTCAAATCTTCTACAGGATACGATTGTTGTACTTCGGTATCACTGTTTTGAGAAGGATTATCCTCGAGTGAGACTGCATTTTCTGAACATAAAAAATTATCGTGCGCATCTTCACTCGACTGAAATAATCTCGAAAAATTGTTCAACAATGTTTCTAGCTGCTCCGATCCATGTTTACGTTGTAGATGTTTTCTCCAAGCTTCGTGACTGACTAAGATTTTCCTATTCTTACAGTTGGGACATTTAAGTTGAAAAACAAGACTACAGCTATGAATTTGCCTAATGTGTGTACGAAGACCGCTAAAGTTACGTTTTGTTTTTCCCTTATCTGATGAACACATTGGACACGTGAATAATAGAATGGACATTTTGTCTTTCTCACACAAAAAAGACTATAACTCACCGATAAATTTGGATGCGAACGATGATAATCCATGCTCATCCAGAAATGCAAGGACATCCGAACTTGACCATGCTTTAACAACTGACATATTGATTCTATATCTAAAACACCAAGAGAAAAAAAAACCTTTTAATTTAAAATTTTAAACTAGATTGTTATGTTAGAATCAAAAGAAAAACAAAACAAAACAACAGCTTATATTAATTCTTATCAACTTCTTTTTTTTATTTAAAAATAAAACAAACAACATTACTTCTTCTCATTTATATATTTGCTTAGAGTATGAGCAATTAATGAAGTACAACTTCTATTTGGATGTAAACCATCACGATGTAAATGTTCATTTTTCGTAAATTTAAATTCAATTAAATCAAATTTAATTTTTGAAGATAGTTTAGCTTTTAGCAGTTCTAATTTTTTATTAAAAAATTTAACTCGTTTTTTACGTTTTTTCCTCCGTTGTCATCGTAAGCCCTTCCCCAAACACTGTTTTTGGTACGATAAGGTATTTTAACAAAAGTTAAATGAATGTTTGGATGCGTTTGACATAATAAATGTATAAATTTCCTTACTTTTGTTATAGCTAAATGACAACTTTTGTTGAAATATTATTTGTGCCAATTACTACTATGCGTTCCAAAATACAAGACAGTCAGCCACTTTTTGAATAACTTTTGATAGGAATAAGATAGAGACCTGCGATTTTCGCTGTTCAATAGCCAAGACTTGAGCAGAACTTTCTATAAGCGGAAGCAACTTTTGAAAAAATTCCAGAGATCGGGTTTCTAGAGGATCTTTGGAAAACCAGCTCCGTTCTCAGAAAACTAACATACAATGTTAGTAATTTTTTTGCATGCGTAGATAGTCCGGACGTTAATAATTCAACCGAGTATCTGAAATGGTGATATTCCCAGCTTACTTGAGGCCAATTACGACCCCAGTCGAAGTGAAGTATTAAAAACATTTCTCAA